GGGTCTCAAAGCAGTTGTGCACTCACCATGAAGCTTTTCTTTTCCTCGATGGTCTGGAAACGTCCATGACCGAATTTGAAGGTGGTGTCGATGAATTTGAGGTCGATCCTCTTCCTGGGCACAGCGGCTGGTCTGTACCAGAAGAGATTTGCGCAGTCAAAACCTCTTCTTGGTTCCGACCACACAGCATGACAAAGTTGTTGGTCACTTCACCATAGTGCACAAAGCCCCCCTAATGTGCACAAAAAGTCAGTTTAAAACCTTAAAGAATACACAGCCTGAAGTAACTGAAAACCAAATAAGGCAGGCATCTGCACACTCACCAGGGTGTTGATGCTCTTGTTGGACAGATCAGATTCAGTAGAGGCTTTGTTCTTAACTACTTTTCCATCCTTTGTGCGATACCCCACACCAATCTTGTAAATCTAAATGAGCAAAACATCATGAGAAACAAGACTCGAAAGGAAAGGGATGCTTAAAACTGGTCCTACAGGAAAGCTAGGGTCTAATTCTGAGGCCTCACCTTCTTGATGAGCACGAGCCACAGAGAAAGCCACACGGGCAGGATGCCAGGCTCCAATACAGGCCACTTTACGCAGACCACGATGGGTCTCACGGGGCAGCTTCTTTGTGTGCCACACCTACAGAAACATTTATTTGATCAAAATGAGCTCTTAGAAGCTCCTTTGATTAAAATATGGCAAGTGTGCTGTCAGAAGGAAGGCAGCATGGGAAATTTCCTCATGTGTTTCGGGCGCCATGCCTGACGCGATTAATCCATGTCTTTCATCACTGTGCACAATGCCTGTCAAAATCCATAGGAACAGACGGATGTTAAACAAAGCCATCAACTTACCCTTGTATCCGTGACCCTTGGTAGCACTGATAACGGCAATCATCTCATCTTGACCAAAGACATTAGTAATGGGAACAGGCTGCTCAAGCTTCTCTCTGGCCCAGTCAACCTTATCAGCGATGGAGCCTCCATTCAGCTGAATCTCTATCAAGTGAGACTTCTTCTGTCTGAGGGGCAGCAGGCGCATCTACAGAAAGTTGATCGTTAAGTCGAGCTCCATTATTTATATATAATTTAAAAAAAAAAGCCAAACAGCCAATATTTATCCACAAATTATACAGTATACAAGTTATTTTGTACACTACCTTGTACTGACAATGCAATTGTGTAAAACGATTATATTGTCAGTTTCATAATGTTTTACGAATAATGAAAGTTACAGAAGCTATTTTGATAAGTAAATTGAAAAAAAGGTTTCTGAAAGTAAATAATTTCCCCCCCCCCACAGGACCCAAAAATTTATTAGCAAGTCGGAGTTGACGTAAACAAGTCACTTACATTCATATTACAAACATGTGGAATGGACTTTCTTCATTAATGGCATAAGACCAATAAAGTAACATTTTGAATGAGAACGAGATATTTTTGGCCATAATCTCTTTGGCCGTAAATGTACAGTGCTCTCTCCCACCTTCAATACCACGACTGAGGTGCCCTTGAGCAAGGCACCAAACCCCCAACGGCCCCCCGGCAGTGGGCAGCATAAATGGCTGCCCACTGCTCTGGGTGTGTGTTCACTGCTGTGTGTGCGCACTTAGGATGGGTTAAATGCAGAGCACTAATTCCAAGTATGGGTCACCATACTTGGCCACATGTCACGTCACTCACTCTTAAAAAAATATTTAAAAAAAAAAGTCAATGACTTTGCTATGACAATCTGGCGCTTCTGAATCAGCGGCTGCAAGTATGTTTTGATATCAGTTTAAGTATTTGCTATTGTTCAAATCCGGAGTTTAGCACAGCGCAGAGTAATAGTTTAATACAAAGGGCCGAAAGCCAAACACACACTACATTTTTCATTTAAAAACACGAGTTGCAGTGAGATGGGGAAAAACCACTCTCAAGATGTTTTTTTCAAAGTTAAACTTGCATTAATTTTACACGGCTTTTCCAACCTCTTGTGTGAGAGACACGAGTGCAACCGTGATGGATGTCCCTCTAGAAAATGCACGAAATAGGAGTTGTGTAAACGGCTTGGTTTCAGTTTTGATAAGATCTTCTCTGCATTGAGGTTCTTTTCCCGCAATATTTGTAATTAACGCAGCAGCGCCGCATAGTGGCTTCAACTGGATAGGTTAACTAAAACATTAAAAATGCAATGACACTTGCATAGTCATCGCATCTCGTGTGCCACTGATAAGGATGCCTCCTTAACGCACACCTAAAATTCCAATGCAACGTTTTTGCATTCAAATGGGGATTTTTTTTTTTTTTTTTTTTTTTTTTTTTAAAAATCCAACATATCGGTTATCGGCTTTCAAAAATAAAGAATAATCGGTTATCGGTATCGGCCAAAATTTTCATATCGGTGCATCCCTAGACAATGCAATTGTGTAAAACGATTATATTGTCAGTTTCATAATGTTTTACGAATAATGAAAGTTACAGAAGCCATTTTGATAAGTAAATTGAAAAAAAGGTTTCTGAAAGTAAATAATTTTCCCCCCCACAGGACCCAAAAATTTATTAGCAAGTCGGAGTTGACGTAAACAAGTCACTTACATTCATATTACAAACATGTGGAATGGACTTTCTTCATTAATGGCATAAGACCAATAAAGTAACATTTTGAATGAGAACGAGATATTTTTGGCCATAATCTCTTTGGCCGTAAATGTACAGTGCTCTCTCCCACCTTCAATACCACGACTGAGGTGCCCTTGAGCAAGGCACCGAACCCCCAACGGCCCCCCGGCAGTGGGCAGCATAAATGGCTGCCCACTGCTCTGGGTGTGTGTTCACTGCTGTGTGTGTGCACTTAGGATGGGTTAAATGCAGAGCACTAATTCCAAGTATGGGTCACCATACTTGGCCACATGTCACGTCACTCACTCTTAAAAAAATATTTAAAAAAAAAAGTCAATGACTTTGCTATGACAATCTGGTGCTTCTGAATCAGTGGCTGCAAGTATGTTTTGATATCAGTTTAAGTATTTGCTATTGTTCAAATCCGGAGTTTAGCACAGCGCAGAGTAATAGTTTAATACAAAGGGCCGAAAGCCAAACACACACTACATTTTACATTTAAAAACACGAGTTGCAGTGAGATGGGGAAAAACCACTCTCAAGATGTTTTTTTCAAAGTTAAACTTGCATTAATTTTACATGGCTTTTCCAACCTCTTGTGTGAGAGACACGAGTGCAACCGTGATGGATGTCCCTCTAGAAAATGCACGAAATAGGAGTTGTGTGTAAACGGCTTGGTTTCAGTTTTGATAAGATCTTCTCTGCATTGAGGTTCTTTTCCCGCAATATTTGTAATTAAGGCAGCAGCGCCGCATAGTGGCTTCAACTGGATAGGTTAACTAAAACATTAAAAATGCAATGACACTTGCATAGTCATCGCATCTCGTGTGCCACTGATAAGGATGCCTCCTTAACGCACACCTAAAATTCCAATGCAACGTTTTTGCATTCAAATGGGGATTTTTTTTTTTTTTTTATTCTCAAAATCATGAGCCCCAATTCTTTACGACAGGCACAGAAAGACATTCAAAACTTGAATTTAAAAAAAACCTTAAACGCGCAATTTGACAACTAGAATGGTTTATAATATCTCACTTTCATCTTTATGCTTACTAAAACGTATTTAAATCGTTTGTGTGCTAAAAGATTTCAAAGCCGAGCAGGACGCTGCCATTTTCCCCTACGGTCGATCACACACCACGTGCAAAATACTCCGGCGCTGCGGTTACGCCATAACCACAGCAAATCATTCGCTTACTTTTTATGCACAAGATACAGAATAGCATGTGTTTAAAACCGGATCTAGATCTCTGATCTAGGTTGGGTTTTGAAGGGGAGTCGATCACTCACCATTTCGTCCCCAGTCCGATTGAAAGAGAGCGACTGAGAAGCTGCGCTTCCTTTTAAAGCAACATGCGCATCCGACGCGTGTGCGTCACTGCATACGTCACACGTACGTTACGCTCCTCTAGTGGCGTCGCCCTCCAACGGGCGATGTAGTTGAAGTACATATTAAATATGAAATGTTCCACTTCATTCATTCATTCTGTTTCAAGATTAATGTCAGATACATGTGTAAAATGTGACCCGAAAAAATGTTTTGTAAATCTAAGATATGCAACTAAAACTAGTCTGTCTGTCTAGGGCAGAACACAAAAGAAAATGTTCAGCAGAATGTCCAGACTTTTTTTTTCTCCATACAATGAAAGTGGATGATGACCAGTGATAGCTGTGGTCACCATCCACTCTCAATATATAGAAATAGTCTAATGGTTAGTCAGTCTCGTACCGGCAGGGATTGTAGGTGGGGGGAGTGAATATACAGCACTCTCTCCCACCTTCAATACCACGACTGAGGTGCCCTTGAGCAAGGCACCGAACCCCCAACTGCTCCCCGGGCGCCGCAGCAAACAAATGGCTGCCCACTGCTCCGGGTGTGTGTTCACTGCTGTGTGTGTGTGTGTGTGTGTGTGTGTGTGTGCACTTTGGATGGGATAAATGCAGAGCACTAATTCCGAGTATGGGTCACCATACTTGGCCACATGTCATTTCACTCTCATTAAAAGTCAAATATCAGGCATATTCAGTTATTTTAAGATAATTTCTCTCACATTCACTCAAAAATGCAATCTACAACTCATTTATGTAGTATGCGTCATGTAGTGTGGTCATGCACATTAAGTTGTTGTAAAATTAAACTTCTAAGAGGAAGCATTTTTAAAGGTCTTTTATTAAATAAAATCTGAGAACTTCATATCTGAACTAAATGCAGTGAACGTGGGCAGGACAAGACTTGGCCACATGTCACTTCACTCTCATTAAAAGTCAAATTTTCTTTACATTCTCAATTCACAAAACTTAAAAAAATGTTCGTGGCTTTTCCCAAGTTCAGTGGCCATACAAAGAACAAGTCTTAGTTTAGGTGAATTAATTATTTGCAAAAAAGAACACACTTAAATAAAACAATACTCATTTTTTAATTACTTGCTGAAAATGAAGACCGTAAAGCTCAGTTTTGAGCCGTTTATCCATTCGGTCTGAGGTTTCTTCAGCATGAACAGCAGAGGGCAGCACTGTATCTTTAATAAAAGGGACTCAAGTCATGCACTGCAGATACAACAACCTGGATGTCACGTTCAACCAGCAGCCATTTCAATAAGTGGGGCATTATGGGGAGGTAGTGTTTCTGCCAGCATGCTTTGGTACTGTTCATTAAGGCATCACAGGGTTTGTGGGGAAACTGTGCATTTATTGATGCATCATAACGCAAGTTTTTCATCTCGGATGCAAAGTAGTGGTTTACGTCTCACAGCTTTTATTCCTTGTGCCAGTCAGTAGGCACATCACCCAACAATTAGAGTTTCTTTTCAGAGAACTAACTCAAAGCTTGGCTGAAGTCATCTGTGTTTGCAGTAGTTGGCAAGGAGGAGTCTCTCAGCTTCCTCATCATCCTGGACAAACCTCTGGTCCTCCTGCTCATCTCAAAGTCCACATCTCGGCTGATTCAGATTACGCTCCTGAAAGAAAGTCTTCCCGAACTCATAAGTGCTGATCATGACAGCACAGGCGGGAGCAACTTTGATCACTCTTGGAAGAAAACCTGAAAAAAGCAAAGCTGTTAATTGAATGTATACAACATTATCCCTGACTGTTTAAACAATAAAAAACTTTTAAAACTGCAATCTGTAATTTCAGATCTAGTTTGGTCCTACACAAATCAACACTGTTCTATGCATGCAATATATTATACATCCAAAAGATTACCATAAACTATAATATTATATGACTGTAAACTATTGAGTTATTAATCCCGACTAAGACTGCATGATATAAGAAATACTGACATCACAATATTTTGATTTTCGGTGCTATATTTGCGATATGAAAAGGTACAGGAATTTCCACCAGATGACGCAAGTAGCTATATCTGGAAAGAATAATTCAAGAATGACTAGGGTGATTATTTGGGGAGTGCGTCTGCATAAAAACATACAACTATACTTAACTGTACAATTACAATACTAATAGTTACGTCTTAATATTTTCATTTTCAAATGGTAAACAATTAAGCTTTTATTTTGACAAAAATACAAACAAAAATATGCGCGGCCAGTTTCAGAACGCGCTGCTGAACATGAATTACTCCGCACTTCACACTGAAACCAGTAGCGCATATGTTTACTGAAATAGCAGTCTGCGCAATTTGACAATCACAATATTGTCAAATATATCACAATATTGATTTTATTTCAATATATCGTGCAGCCCTAATCCTGACCGTCACAAACAGGCCTCTTTTAACTGATGTCAATCTCTAGTTTGGCTAGTAAAGTTATAGAACTACTCTGACGTCACTATCACTAGATATTAGCGCTTACCTGCAAACAAACCCCTGTATCCCATGTCGATCCAGATGTTCCTCATCATGTTCCATGTGGTGGACGGTTTCTTCACAGAGACTACTGCCAAAGGTCAAAATGTCATGAAATTTGATAAATGTAATTAAATCTAGCTTAAGTAATCAGCTCCGAACTGTTTTTAAAAGTGAGCCGTCACCTAATGATGACATATGTCACTCAACATGCAGGTTGCATTACTCCACTCTTTCTAATGTGTTAACAGGTGAAACTACAGAAGCTGCTATACCTCCAAGAGCCTCCATTTCTCCTAATTGGATTTGCTTGCGTGTTTTCACCACATCAAACGGCAGGGTCAGAATTGCAGCGATCTGTGTCAAAAATATATATATATAAAAAAATTTATAATAATAATTATTATATATATATATATATATAGCTGATAACCCAGGATGGTATGAAAGACATTCTTTTTTTCTTTTTTTTTTACTAAGTTTAAAACCAGATTTAAAAATGTCAGTAAATACATGCATAATGTCATATAAAACATTAAAAATATATATTTCAAATACATGCTGTTCTTTAGAATTTTCTTATTTAAAAGAAAAATATGCATCACCATTTCCACAAATAAAAATATTAACAAATACTTATTTCACCATTGATAAGAAGAAGAAATAATTCTTGTGCAGCATATCAGCATATCTGAATGATTTCTGAAGGATCATGTGACACTGAAGACTGAAGTAATTGCTGCTGAAAATTCAGCTTTGCATCACAGGATTAAATTACATTTTACAATATATTCAAAGTGAAAACAGATTGTAGATTGTTTAGATTGTAGTAATATTTCACAACATTACTATTTATTACTGCATTACTTTTTTGACTGATACTTCTTAGGGAGAAAAGCAACCAACCAAAAACTGCTCTTAAACATTATACAAATATAATTAATTGTACACTTAATGATTATTCAGTTGTTTTATATTCACAAATCAATTCTATTTTAAACCAATAAATTTAATTGTTATGGAGTAAGAATATACAAAAAGTAACTTGACCATTAGTTAGAGATCAGCTCAGTTTTACTCATGTCCTCCATTCATCTGGGACAGAAGCTGACCCAGCATTTGTTCTCATGCAAAATGCCCTTATTTTTAATCAGTCAGGCCAGATAAGGTATCACGCTCTGTTTGTTCACATTGTTTTATCTTTTTTTGCTCACCGTAGCTTTATGTAATCATTCATAAACTCCTCTACATTAATTTACAGCCATCAAATTCCTTCTTTGAATGCGTCACTTAAAGTAAAAGTCATCAATAATATTTGGCTTTTGAGAGTATACTCACTGCTCCTGAGACGGCCCCTGCTGTAAAACTGATGGTGAATGAGGTCTGTGGTGCCCTGTACCGCTCACACAGCTGTGCCTTCACTAGCTCATAGTTAAACCAGTACAGGGCTGAGGCAAAAAAAAACACAAAAACAGTCAAACATTGCATCTGGGGGACATCAGTTCACCATCACGCCGCCAGAGATTGTACGGGTCACTGACCGGAAAAGGGCACGTCCCGTAGAACAGTGGGTCCCCAGCCTCTCCAGAGAGATAACCAGCCATCCTGAGCCACAGCCGAGCGGATACACACCATCAGCTCGCTGTACGGTAGCTTGCGGGATTGCATCTTAGTCCGAACTAACTCCAGAGGGCTGATCACAGACACCGCTCCCACTGAGCAGCACAGAGAGATGTCAATAACTTGACAACAGAGATCACACCACAGCAGAAACGATCGAACAGTACACTGGGAAAAGTACAACAAAAGCATGGATGCACTGATATGAACATTTAGCCGTTTTTTGTCTAAATGCGTTTAAAATAACATTTAAATCAATCATTCTAAATACTACAAGTGAATTTAGACATCACAATATTATAATATACAGTAAGAAAAAATTATTTTCATTTTGAGATTTGCAAAATATTAAAATCTACCGTTCAAAAGTTTAGGGTCAGTAAGAATTTTCTTGAAAGAAATTAATACTGAATACTTTTATTCAAAAAGGATTCAATTGAACAAAAGTGACAGTAAAGACATTAATAATGTTAAAAAAAAGAATTATAAATGCTGTTCTTTTGACCCTTCTATTCATCAAAGAATCCCCCCAAAAAAGTATTAAATTGTTTCCACAAAAAAAGCAGCAGCACAACTATTTTCAACATTAATAACAGGTTTCTCTCTTTCTTGAGCAGCAAATCAGCATATTAGAATGATTTCTCAAGGATCATGTGACACTGAAGACTGGAGTAATGATGCTGATAATGTAATAATTGTACATAATTATTGTTTTAATGTTTTTTGTTCAAATAAATGCAGCCTCAGCAATCATTAGAGATATCTTTCAAAAATATTCAGAGATCTTACCGACCCCAAATGTTTGAATGGTAGTGTATATATACTAGCAATATATTCTAGCTAATAATGTTAATATAATGTATAAATTATCTTGAAATGAGTGTTAGATGGCAGCAAATGTAAATGTCAAAACAGGAGAAATGAGAACTCAATTAATATCCAAAACTGACTGATACATTAAATTAAACACCTCTACTATCAGCCTGTAACCAATATAGTACCCATGTATTCTGCTGTTTTTCAGAGTTATGTTTAGGGACACATGTAATATTATTATATGATCTTCATAATACACAGTACAATACATACGGTAGTTTTGTAAAAGATGCTTGGATGAGACAGGAAGGATAAGTTCATACTCACATCTTGCTAACCCTCCTGCTATGAGGGGGATATGGTCCCCCTGATAGCCCATGCTGTAACGCAGGAAGTCTCGCAGCTGGTCATAACAGGTGAAATAGATGACTGTGGCAGGAACAGCCATCACCCTTCAAACACAAGGGTGAATTGAAAATAACTTGTGCACTAATTACAAATGAGTGTCATTTCAAAGATTCACATTTATTCCTATTTGCACTTATATATTGTTGCTCTTTTGTTAGTTTTGACTGCTTTTATTGTCCTCATTTGTTAGTCGCTTTGGATAAAAGCGTCTGCTAAATGACTAAATGTAAATGTATTTACTGTTATGTCAGGCCATGTGCTCAAGTGATCTGACCCCAAAAAAAGATTACAGTGAACTTGATCCAGACGTTCAATCATTAACATGTTATTTATACATTTAGTCAAAGGGTCATTTGCTTGCACAGTAAACAGCATGACTATGGTTTTTTTTATTTACATATAATGACCCTTATGCGGCAGTTCTTTTAATGGATCACTTCAATACACTCGAGTCATCTGTCTGAATCAGTCTACCGAATCCTTCAATCAATGATCTTTGAATCTGTCAAATCATTTATTTAATGATCTACAAGTTATTACTTTTAGCAAAACACTGCACTTCAGTGCAGAATCAAAGTCTTTAGAATGAGCTAGAGCAGTGGTTTTCAAACTGGGGTCCGCGACGCAAAGCCAGGGGGTCTGCAGAATAATTTGCTATACCGTATTTTCCGGACTCCAACTCGCGTTTTTTATCTTCTGAAACGTGCTATGATTTATATTCCAAAGTGACTTATACAATGCATTAATATCAAATAAGCAAAGCGTAAAAACTTAAAAGTGGGCACTTCAAGGTTTATATAGCTAAATAATATTTCTAAGTTAAGTAGACAGTATCGCAGAGTTTTCCTTAATTTTAGGAAGTGGTTCACATAGACCAAGACGGCATTTGCATTTTTGTTTGTTTTCTTTATTTTACAAAAGCACTACGTTTCACTGTCATTTTGAAGGTACACAAAATAAAAATAGACCGTTTTGAATGATGTCTTGCTCTTATCTGACGGATATCACTTTTTCTGCTGATACAAGGAATCCAACGTGTTCGCGCTGGCACTTCCCGCGCACACAACATATCAGTTCTAGCACTGCAACTTGACATCACAGCCTCATCATCAGCAAACTAAATGAGACAACTAAACCTACAAAAGGTATTTGGTGACTCAATTTAACGTGTCTGTTGTACAATATGTAGGTTTTGCTGGTTAGCGTGAGCATGCCGTGGTGTTTTTCCAAACACTTTTTTGCATATGTGAAGGATGCTGTTAGTAGATATTCAGACATGAGAGAAGTACAAAGCCTTCTTTACATAATACGTAGCCTAATAGTTTAGCAACCAAATGTTAGACTACATAACGATTCACTCATAAAAACGATTCATGCCGAATGAGAGGTTTGCTAGCCCACAATGTGGTTAAGTTTCAGTTTTTAGTAAGTAAGTTTAGTTTCTTATGGACATAGCCATAGGTGTCGATTTATGTTTCTGCCGGTGGGTACAAAAAAACGAGCATTTAATTTTTTTATAAAACACATTTTCACCAGTTTACACAAGTAAATGATAACCGGGCTAAGTTATCATACACATACGCAACAAATGCTTAACATATTTAAACATTCTCATTACTCAGTAATTCATTATACTGGGTGTTAGTTTTTTCTAGAGTAGGCTATACTCCGTTTGATGAATTCACTACACAAAATGTATCTTGCGAAGTAAAATGCATGCAATTACCAACCAAATAATACACACATTCTTTCTATGAGGGTTGCGCTTCACTAAATAAAATTATTTAATAAATACCTGTTTACAAAAAGCACTTATTCGCGCGTACACAGGACAAAGTTTGAGTTACACATAATATCTGAAGGAGCACAGAGCCATGATCACTATATATATATAAAATGGAGAGCAAGCTCGCTGTAAGCCGAGAGATTTGTGCTGGTGGCCTCTCATATTACAATAATGCACTCTCGACATTTGCCATTAAAATAATAACAAAAACGGCCTCAAAGGAACTATGAATACGGTATAAAGTTGTAAAAGCTGCAATCCATTTCTTATTGGTTAAAATGAACGAAGACTATCTTGTGTTTTTCACGAGCACCCATGGGATCAGCGTCTATGGCATTTAAAATAAATGTTGTTTGTAATGATCGGCACTATAATACATTTTTTGACATACATAAATTTATTTTTGTTCTGTTATAAATGCCACAAAATTTATGCGACTTACACACCGATGCAACTTATGTTTTGTTTTTTTCGCCCTTGACCTGGTGCAACTTTCCGGAAAATATGGTAAATTTAATTATATTATGCTGTAGTATTAAAAAGTACATATACAATGGGGACCATTTGCACCAATAAAACATTCATATTATGTTCATTCCTCCTACCAACATTAAACTTTAGCCTTAAACACTGTTATAATTATGAGGGGGTCCTTGGTAGGGGTGCGCCGATACGATATTCAGGATCGGTATCGCTCCGATACTGGCATTTTCTGCTGGATCGAGGTATCGGTCAGACGAGACCGATCAAAATCCGATATTGTGCATATACTATTCTGTGCTATTGTTAAGCCCCACGAAAGCCACAAAAACATTATAAAGCACCATAAAGTTTCCGTGCACTATATTTCAATGTTCTGAGACCGTTCCATAGTTGAATGTGAGGTACAGATGAATATTTAAGTCGTTAAATTCAAGTTCACGTAAACCCTTCTCTCCGCTGCGGCGGTCTGTCATCCTCCATTCAGCATTCAGACTGCACGTCGCGTTCAGTTACGACAGTCAAGATGACGAAACTCTCTCTAGGATGATACAATGTTCCTATTATTATACTTGATCTGTAGATAAACATCGGCTGTTTTGCATAAAAGGACTTTTATCTTGCTGGAGTTTATAGCTAATTCTAAATCATGTTAGTTTCTACCTGGTGTCTGTTAGAGATCACAACACTGGTGTACAGAGCACTATGAATTGTTCTTCACACGTACATTAACTGAAATTTAAAACTGTTAAAAGAAAAGGCTAAAAAAACTATCGCACAGATATAATACACTACGCATCAGTTTCTCTTCCCTTTGTGCTTTGAAGTTTTTAACACGAAGCGCTTACAATGTGCTTCGTGCTCATAGACTGTCAACCCTCTACATTTCAGAGTAAATCACTCGCATATGCGACTAAATCTTCACTCTGGGCGACTAAATGATGTCTAATATCAGCCAATGGTTAATCAATTCTCAGATTTTACTCGCCAGTGGATATAATACACTACGCATCAGTTTCTCTTCCCTTTGTGCTTTGAACTTTTCTATGCAGAGCCCTGCGACTACGTGTTGCTTCAAGCGCATCATTCTGCGCACGGGATGCGCATAAGTGCTTTGTGCCGGCTCTGTATTGGAGCCTTTCATGTTATAATACTTTTGCGCAATGAAAGATTGTTAATTGCCTTTCTTGTTCTGTCGTATCTATCATATGATGCTGCCTCATTACTGTGCTATAAATGTAAAAGAAATGTATTTAATTTATTGCATATATTTATATATAATTATATTTACTTGTTTTTCATGAATGTATAGACCAATTATTGGTTTGTAAACATTCAGGATGGTTGCAGAAAACCTGGGAGAGATAGCCTTTATGGCTAGAGAATTTCACAGATACGGTACAAAATAGTTTGGTTTAAAAAGATTATAAATTATATTGATTAGATGTCATTTTTAAAATGTTCTCCGCATATTACAAGAGCTTGTCACTCAGCGATAAGCACTGTTAGAGGCGTTAGACGTTAGAGAGTGGGATAGTCTTACAGATCCGAAACAGGGATGACGTTTTTTTTGTGTGGGCGGAGCCTATCTGGAGGTAGAAAATTACGGTTTTCAAGTGGCAGTCTATGGAGCCATGGAATAAAAGAATAAAAAAAACTGGTAAATTTGATTTTATTTTTCAAAATTCTGACTTTATTCTCGCAATTCCGAGATTATATCTCACAATTCTAATAAGGAAAAACAACTCGTCATTCTCTTTTCCCCTCGGCTCTTCTGGCTTTTTTCCCTCAGATTTGACAAACTCACTATTTTTGAGTTACGTTAGAGAGGGGGATAGTCTTACAGATCCGAAACAGGGATGACGTTTTTTTTGTGTGGGCGGAGCCTATCTGGAGGTAGAAAATTACGGTTTTCAAGTGGCAGTCTATGGAGCCATGGAATAAAAGAATTAAAAAAAGGTAAATTTTATTTTATATTTCACATTTCTGACTTCATTCTCGCAATTCCGAGATTATATCTCACAATTCTAATAAGGAAAAACAACTCGTCATTCTCTTTTCCCCTCGGCTCTTCTGGCTTTTTTCCCTCAGATTTGACAAACTCACTATTTTTGAGTTAAGTCGAGTTATAAAAGTCCGAATTAGGAGATATAAACTTGCATTTACGAGAAAAAAAGTCAGAATTGTGAGATAGAATAAATAAATGTTATGTAAAAATGTTAATAGTAAGGTTTAAATACTATTTCTAATAGTAAGGTTTAAATAATATTTCATGCTGTAACTGTAGGGCTAATACAATATGTCCCCTATGAACAGCATATGTCAATATTATGTAGACCTATTGTTTAAATCGAATTTATGCTTTAAAAGTAGAGTAACCATAACAGTTTTCATCCATAGTATGTCCATTTAAACGTCTGCGTCTAGCTTCAAATGGCGTCTTTGACGACAGTATTCTATAAAAATTATTTGCATTCCGATCTTGACATCAAAAGGCACAAAAACATTTTTTTTCTTTTATTCCATGGATTTTAACCATTTATCTCCACTTGTTCCCAGTGTTTTTCTGCAACCACTATGCGCGCGCAGCTGTAAGCTGTGACGTCTACTCTAAATTGGTTTATATTACAATACAAAGAGCAATGTGTAACATTTTACCAGATTACACCCATTTACATAAATTTTTCCCCCACTAAATAATGTTTTTTCTCTAAATGTTTAGATTTTATAAAATTATTGTGAACTCAAAATTATTTTTGTAGAGTAACTTTTGCTGCTGAATTATCCACTAACCTATTTTATAATAGTATTTTTCTAATAGATTATGATTATATATATTTTTTACTTTTTATTTTTCTTTATAATGAAGTTGTCTATATTTAGTACATTGTGTGTAATACACAAAAGAGTGATGATCAGGTCAACACACACTGAGGTATAGAAATTAAAGATAAAATAAAAAACTGCTGGTATCGGTATTGTCCGATACTCAGAACTTTTGGTATTGGAACGGAATCGTTGAAAAAATTAAAAATGAGAAAAAAAAAAATCGTGCCACCCCTAGTCCTTGGTCCCTGGCTCCAAAAAGTTTGAAAGCCCCTGAGCTAGAGTTACAGTACACACTTTATGAATAGACACACACAAAAAAGGACTAGACTAGATCTGTTAGCACCTGTTATGACAGCATCTGTTTTTTATGTAACTGTACACTGGCATTATGATGCTGGACTTACAGTGTGGGAGGAAGTCCGCTCCACAAAGACCTGAGCCCCTCATTACGAGTAATCTTTACAAATGCATCCTGACAAACAAAAAGTGAATCAATCATAGGTTTGTGTGATTACAAAAACTTGGAATCAGAGTTTGGAAAGATGCAAATGATTTCTCACCACGGTCCCGCTGAAGTGGGTAGGGGTTTTGTACCAGCTGCAGCAGCTTGACATATTCTGACACACATAGACGTGGTCCATCAGCCCGTTACAATAGAGGAAGCATTTCCCTAAAAAGACAGACAAAATGCAGTAGCATGAATCTAATTTGTAATACTTTTGCGCATTTATTATCAATGGCCACAAGCACACAAATTACTTAAGTGACTGCAGTGATCAATCATGGGAAAAAAAGACAATTTCTTTGTGAACTTTTATTTTCAATTGCAAAACACTTGATTTTTAATCTTGCAATTGGTTATGGTGGAATTTGACATAGAATAGGTTGTACACAAAGTTGTACACTATACATATTGTATGGGTTAAAGTCAGCATGAATTGGCAAATTCATCTATTTTATTAATGCATTTTATTGATCTGATTTGATATTGATCTGTGAACAATTCATCCATGCATATGTGCCTTAAAAACAAATTATTATAACTCGATCTTCCAGTGAAACAACAGCAAGCTTGCATTCAGATCTGCCACCATCCAATCAGCAACCGATGAATAGGCAATGAAATCAACAACTGATGAATAGGCAATGATTTGTCACCGCCCTACATTTTTGATAATCTGTTTCAATCAAATTTATGTCACAATATAGAAAAAAAAAAGAACTGCCACTACTTCTGTTACCTTGCAACACTACCACAATATGGTTACAAAAAACAAAAGGAAAAGAAACACTTTGCAACCTCAATAATCTTGGCTTGTATTTACACACCTACAGTATAGCAACCATGTGATGCTTTGACATTGCGGTTTTTCCAATAATTTAAAAGGATTTAGCGATTAGGACTGAGGTCTTAGATAACAGGCTCTATAAATATTAGCGACCATGGCATTGACCATGCCGCGAATCCAGCCTTGGCACAAACAAGCAGTCTTCGTACTATTTCTGGATATTACATAAGACTTACAAAAGGTTCAAGGTCGGTCTACCTGGCATGGATTTTAGTTTGTCCTGATGAGTTCTTTTAATGGTCCACTGCTATAAACATGCTGAATAAATATTTATATACAGCAGAGCAGGCCTCTGAAATGCATTTACTGAATGCATTTTTTCAACTTGTGGTATTTTGTGCACATTTGTCATGTCTGCTTGCAATGTGACCTTATGTTTAGCCCTTCAGAGATGTTGTACATAAGCCAAAATGTTGTCTACACTATGTGATTTAGTTGTTTTGCAGAATGTGTTTGTAATTCTTTGAGTGGTAGTTAGAGAGTGAGTTAGCGAGCTAACCTTTGGGGGGGGACCATGAGCACAGATGACAGTTCATGCAGTTTACATACTCACATTTTGAAGGGCGGATGACCCCAGCCCAGGGTCTTGATTCTGATGCTAGGGCTATAAGAGAGAGAGAGAAAGACAGCTCATAGGCCTCATGCTGCATTTTGCATTTGCTATATGCACCATGTCATCAAAAGCTTACAGCGGGTTATTAGATATAAACTACCATTCAAATGTTTGGGATCAGTAAATTTTTTTTTTACTGGTTATCCAGCAAGTATGCATTAAATTGATCAAATGTGACAGTAAAGACTAGAGCCCGACCGATATATCGTTTAGCCGATATTATCGGCCGATATGAGCCTGTCACCAATATATCGGTATCAGCGAATATGCCGCCGATACGCCGCCAATATGAAATTTTTTTTTACAGAACATATAATGCAGATAAAATGCTTGAAATTGTGTAATTACTTCGTTTGTCCAGTTTGTCGCGCTCCATTGTTTGCTACTGGCGACCTGGATGAAACGCTTTAAAGCTTAAGTCTATGGAAAACCATTAAAACTTTGAACGGCCATATCTCCGTAACGGTGTGGCGGATCCGCACCAAATTCGGGGGATCCATTCAGCTCGAGGAACCCTCTTGAATGCGAATCGAGTGTACGTCTCGAGGGGGTGAGTGAATTCTGATCCATTGAACACAATGGCCAATCAGAGTTGTTCAAGAAATCAACAGATATGTCTGTGTGTGACTGGCTATGATGCTCAACGGTGCAAACCACGTTGTAAATAGAAACTTTTGATGCTTTCAGGAGCACAAATACAAATAAGCACTGCCGTTTACCAAATCTGTTTCGCCAGTATTATTAGTTTCAACTGAGGGTGCTCTTGATTTCGTTTGAGGGTGCTTTTCACATACTATTGTTAACATATTGGCTGTTTATTAGTACTTACTGTATATAGCACATTCTGCATGACCATATTCTACATCCTTAATCCTACCCAATACCTAAACTTAACTACATTACTATTAATAAGCTGCAAATTAGGAGTTTATTGAGCAAAAGTCATAATTAATGGTTTGTTAGCGAGAATTTAATTCACACTTAATTTCATTTAATAACACACTTAAAATAAAGTGTGACCCGTGAGTCTCGCACTAAATGCAGCCCTTATCTTAATGGGGAAATATATGCTTCCTCCTAGCAATTTCCCCAAACACAAGAAGAAAAATTACCAAACTGTGAGATTAAATGCTTCGTTAATACATAATTTTGTTGGAAAAATCCTTAATGGTTTTCTTTAAATGTTGTTTGCCTTTCCATATGTGCCTCAGATTCTTATTATATTTGGCACCCCACTTCAGATTTTTCAAGGAGACCAATGCCATCCCAGACCAAGGTCCTCGACCTTGTCAAGTCGTCAAAACTTTAGGGTCAAGTAAAAACTAGTTTTATACACTGGCAATTCAAAGTTTAAAATATATTTTTTGACCCGGATAACTTGCTTTGACAATTTATTTCACTGGTCATGTATAAAATTGTCAAAGAACAAAAAGCATTAAACAAAATAACTTATTTTTGTGTTCATCAGATTTAAGTCTATGGAAAACCATTAAAACTTTGAACGGCCATATCTCCGTAACGGTGTGGCGGATCCGCACCAAATTCGGGGGATCCATTCAGCTCGAGGAACCCTCTTGAATGCGAATCGAGTGTACGTCTCGAGGCCCTCTTTCGAATGAGACCACCCCCGCGTCGATAGCCCTCGGGGTTCGGGAGTTACGGGTGGTTAAATTCACGGTCCGGCGCCAACCGTTTTTGGTGGAGATCCGCCGGCGCGTTCGCAAGATAGTGACACCAGTCAACACTTTCACTTCAGTAAGGTATTCGACCGTAAGTGCCCTGCGAAGTGGACTTCACATGATATTCCGCCATGATTCCAGTTCCAAGGGAACGTACACGTTACATTCAAAGGGCATTAAAGTGCATTAAAGTGCGTGAGAAGTGAATTTATATTTATTTACAGGAGGTAAATTATGTCACACTTCTCTAGTAAGTTTCGTCTGTGTGTGAAGACAGTAGCGCAAATCCGTGAATGAATGTTCCAAAGTGAAAAACTTCAAGGGAATAAAGTTGAATGGAATTTAATTAAAGTTGAATAAACTTCAACTTTACTGTTCAGTGCACTGATGTCAGACTCATTTTGAATAAAGTTTATTGTTAAATGCCCTGCCTCCATCATTACATATCTTTGTCACGTGATTATAAGTGTTTGATCACCACATTCGAGTGATCATTGCAAAAAATGTGTTTATGTATATATATTCTGTTTATGTATATACTGTATTCTATATACAGTATAGTACCAGTCAAATGTTTGGACACACAAATGGGAAAGTGTCCAAACTTTTGACTGGTACTGTACTATAATATACACAAAGAATATCAGCCGATATATCGATACCTGCCTTTTTTTTTTTTACTCCCAAATATCGGTATCGGCCCCCAAAAAAAACATATCGGTCGGGCTCTAGTAAAGACATTTATAATGAAAATCTATTTGAAATGCACCAAAGAATCATAAAAAAAATATCACGGTTTCCACTAAAATGTTAAGCAGCGTAACTCTTTTTAACATTTATAATATGATAATTGATAAATGTTATTTCAGCACCAAATCAGCATATTAGAATGATTTCTAAAGGATCATGTGACACTGAAGACTGAAAAATTAGGTTTTGCCATCATAGGAATGAAAATATATTAAAATAAAAAAATAAAAACATATACACTAAACTTTACAAATATTTCACAATATTACGGTTTTGTTCGATTTTTGATCAAATAAATGCACCCTGGGTGAGACTTCTTTCAAATACAATTAAAAATCTTAAGAACCTGAATGACAGTGTAGCTTAATTTTTGCTGGTATTAGAGCGGAAATAGGTCAAATTATTCTATCCCAGCTTAATATGCATTGACAAATTTGTACGTCAATGTTCCCAAAACATTTTTACACTGTAGTGCTATCAAAACTTTGCTTTGCTTGGATCATGACCAACCCGACATACAACCAGTGGGGTAAGTTTGGGGCAGGACTGAGTTTAGCAAGCACTGGCAAACAAGGGTATTTTTAAGAAACCTGTTTGGAATCAGTCAATATTTTTGCTATTCTAATTGGTGATGTTATTAGCAAATAAAATCTTCACCTCAACATGGATGTTGAACTGGTGTGTCTAGAATAAATGCATGAAATTCACTGTTCAATCATCTGTCATTGTCTGTGAAAACTGAAGAGTTTAATATCTGTACCTTTATAGAGGGGAACTTGCTGGGCTTGAAGTCTGATCTTCACTACATCCAGTGGTGTGACTGCAAAGAGAGAGCGAGGGAGAAAGAGAAAGAGTACAATTTTGTCTTCATTTTAATAAAAGTATTGTATTAAATGTTATAACCATTATAATTCCACCTATAAAGCACAATGCTTGCACAAGCACAAAGCTTCCAATGTCAAATTAAACTCTAAAATGGGCGAATCAGTTACTTTACGAACACAATTATATTCCCTACATTCAGTATCATTCCAAAGTTTGAGGTCAGTAGGTTTTTTAATGTTTTTGAAAGAAGTCGCTTAAGCTCACCAAAGTAACATTTATTTGATCAAAAATACAATAAAAACAATAATATTCTGAAATATTATTACAGTTTAAAATAACTCAAGAAAATATTTCTTATTATTATAATTTTTATCACTTTCTGGTCACTTTTAAACAATTTAATGCATCCTTGATGAATAATTTTTTTTTTTTTAAACTGACTGACCCCATACTTGAAGTGTAATGTGTGTGCATTAAAAAGTATCATGCACATTATTTTTTTCCCCCCACACACACACATAAAAAGAAAACATTATGCTAAAATCAGACAAATGCAGGAAATGATCTCACAAACATGTTCAGAATTAATACTGAATAGAGAAATTATTGTGCTGATTCTTTTCCTCACCAAAAAGAGATGTTAGTACAGCCCCAGTGCCAGACGCCAGCATCTGCTGCACAGGTGTAATAGCAGCCGAAGGCCTGACTGCAGGCCCTTCCCTCATCCTGCCGGCCCCACCTGAAAAACAGGAAAAAAACGTTTTACACATAGGCATTCTAGGCACATGCCTATGCTTGCTCGTCCAGGGGGGCCCAAACACAATAAAGAGATATATAATATTTTTGTTATACTATGGGATATCTACAACAGTAAAAGAACCAAAACCCCAGAAGACATTGAGCAAATATATAACAAACAATAGGGTAAAAATGATCAACTATTTCCATGTCTTCCACCTTTTTTGTCTACAGAAAACACACTTTCCTTCTCCCATTCTCTCCCACAGACGCACACAGACACAGTAGTTATACCGACATGCACTCGCACACACGGAGAGTCGGACAGAAACTTGTTGTCAGCTCTGCCCCGCGAATTTATTAATAAAATTTTCGCAGCTGTAAAGCTACATGACATTTCTCAGTAGCGAGGTTCTTGAAGCAGTTCAACTTAAAGATTCGCTAGACGCTGCTGCTGAACGCTGCTGCTGAGAGACGCACAGATGCAGGTATTCATACGCACTTAATCTCTCTCTCTCTCTCCCTCTCTCTCTCTAATAACTGCGTTAGACTGCATTAATAACTGCATTAGCCTGCATATCAATGGCTCAAGCCTCTGTTATTAGCTCTAAAATGACGTTTTGGAATTTGCAACGGAACGTGAGATGAGGTGAGAATTATTATAGAAATAATGCACTCCCGAAGTGGTTATGTGGCCAAGACGCCGCACCTATTAATGGAATGGTCTTTCTCAGTTCTCAAACAAATTAAGAATTACATTCGATTTTTATTGACTGAACTCAAGCGCTCACTGCAATAGAAAACACTGTAACGGTTTCACCGATTAAGAAATATTTTTGTTTGCTTGGGTGGTGGTAATATTAGGCCTATTATATTAATAGGGAAGGGGGGCCCAAAAATTTGTTTAGCCTATGTCACGAAAAAAGGTAAATCCGGCCCTGGGTCTACTGCATATCTACTGCATATCTACTGGGTCTACTGCACTCACCCTCCCCGTACCCTATACTAGTCGTGCAGAAGCCAGTAAACTACTTTACAAGAAACAATTCAGCGTGAGACTTTGACCGACACAAAGAGTGCAGTTTGGAAGCATTCAGCATGCAATATGTTCAGTGTCAAGGGTTCTGGGTAGCTAGGAAACTTTAATTGATAGTTCATTCAAAAATTAAAATTCTGTCATCATTTGCTTACCCTCATTTATGACTTTCTTTTTTCTGTTGTACATAAAAGAAGATATTTTAAAGAATATTGGTAACCAGTTTTGGTTCCCATTGGCTTATTAAATAAAATTTAAAAAAAGAATCAAAACCGTTTACTCATAAACATACTTCAAAATCTCTTCTTTTATGTTACACAAAGTCATACACAAGACATATGGAGATAGCAGCATACTAGTAGAGAGAAAACCCAAAAAGACTTGTGGACTGGAGAATTTTAATCATTAAACTGGTGTTACCTACAAACTGGCTCCTACAAACCTAAAAAAAAAATTTAAACGCTAAAGCAAATCACAGCTTTAGGCTACTGACACAGAAAGGAAAATCCATATGCAACTAACTAAAAGATCAACAGAGCAGATATTCATCTGTGAACTCAGAAGTCGATTTTCATGTTGCCATGATGCATTTATGAAGTACAGGAGGCTGCTGTTAATAACTCGTCATAGTCTTATGCTGCAGTGCTGTAATTTTGATCAGCTCAAACATCTCAATCCATCTCATGTGTGTTATGAGACTCCAGAATAACAGTTGAAGTGCAGTCCATCATCTCTAGAGCTGCAAAACAAACCCCAAACAGCTCTCGTCTCACTACTTCACATCCATTCATTGAAACCATCATCAAACACAACAACTAACAGATGATGCAATACAAATAAAACTGCATATACATAAAAACATGGTTGTTGATACATGGGGTGAAATTACATTTGTTGAAAAAAACTATCATATCCACTTTAAAAAAATAATCAGTGACAAATTTGTAGACCTTACTAAATCATGACAATCTTAACTTTGGTTATAGACAATGTATGTAGTAATAGTCCCTTAATGTCTAACCATAATTTCTCATTTTTTTTTTCTCCTTATCTTCTAATTAACACCAGAATATTTTACTGAACAACATTGCAGGCATTTTAGATCAAATAATAATATGCCTGAAAATGGTATGACTGCTATCTTTAAGCCAAGAAACCGTCAGCCAAAATTCAAAAACAAAGAACAAAACGTGCTGTTAACTCAAAAGAAAGGAAGTTGAAAAACTCACTCGCTTCAGTTCATCGTGATCTCACAAAGTTCCATTATAATAATCAATGAAACTCTCTACACTGCACCATAAATCTCTTATTTGCATCGTGTCTATGTCTACACTTTGTTACAATAAGGGGATTCATGAATGTGCAGGAAAAACATCCGGCGTTTTGAGGGGTGAGTGAATTCTGATCCATTGAACACAATGGCCAATCAGAGTTGTTCAAGAAATCAACAGATATGTCTGTGTGTGACTGGCTATGATGCTCAACGGTGCAAACCACGTTGTAAATAGAAACTTTTGATGCTTTCAGGAGCACAAATACAAATAAGCACTGCCGTTTACCAAATCTGTTTCGCCAGTATTATTAGTTTCAACTGAGGGTGCTCTTGATTTCGTTTGAGGGTGCTTTTCACATACTATTGTTAACATATTGGCTGTTTATTAGTACTTACTGTATATAGCACATTCTGCATGACCATATTCTACATCCTTAATCCTACCCAATACCTAAACTTAACTACATTACTATTAATAAGCTGCAAAAATTGAACACAATGGCCAATCCGAGGTGTTCAAGAAATCAACAGATATGTCTGTGTGTGACTGGCTATGATGCTCAACGGTGCAAAACACGTTGTAAATAGAAACTTTTGATGCTTTCAGGAGCACAAATACAAATAAGCACTGCCGTTTACCAAATCTGTTTCGCCAGTATTATTAGTTTCAACTGAGATTTTTACAGATTTATTTACGAAAACAATGAAAGCTTAGAATCTGAGCTTCTGGAAGAACCATTTGTTCTTGCCCGTCTTGTACCTATAAAAGAAAACATTCACTATCATCAATGTATCACCACATGTAGGACAATACATGCTTATCATATTGAGTGTATCAAAGAAAACAATGTCCAGTGCCCAACAAGATCAAACTGTTCCTACAGTCATCTCTGAACAGAAACTAAAACCAGAAAGAATGAGTAAACTTGCCACAACACTTTTTTTCTGCATCAAATTTAGGACTTCACTAAATTTAGGACTACACTAAAATAAAGTTTTAATCTAGCTCTTAACATAACATGTAAGCATTAATCAATAACATACAATTTAATTGTAAAATTAAGTAGTTGAGATCTGGTGACAAAAACATACCTCTCCTCAAACTTAACCTTGGCCTCTCTCCTGGCTTTGCGCTTCAGAGCAGGATCTCTGAACACATCCTTGTTGACAACAGTTTTGTCCAGAGGAATGTCAACAGAGTATCTGAGGAAAGATGATGCACTGATTAGACAAGTGTACATAATTAAATCCTGCTGATTTTAAAGTGGTCAAATTAAACCCTAAATTTATAACAATAAAAATCAATATAGGTACACCCGAGATATATCTATTAATTAGTATTTGCAACTGCTTAAGTTTCATCAAGAAAGCACCACATCAACAAATCTGTATGTGACTCTGGGTATCATAAAGGATGTGGAATTATATAGTACACCAATTAGACAAGTATAACCATAATTCAATCTGAATCAGTCATCAAAAGTTGTCTATATCCACTACTGTTCAAAAGTAAAAGGAACACACCATTATTTTTGAAAATATGCTAATTTTCCAACTCCCCTGGAGTTAAACAGTTGAGTTTACCATTTTCGAATCCATTCAGCCGATCTCCGAGTCTGGCGGTAGCACTTTTAGCTGTAGCTTAGCATAGATCATTGAATCTGATTAGACCGTTAGCATCTCGCTCAAAAATAACCAAAGAGTTCCTATATTTTTCCTATTTAAAACTTGACTCTTCTGTAGTTACATCGTGTACTAAGACCGACGAAACATTTTCTAGGCCGATATGGCTAGGAACTATACTCTCATTCCGACGTAATCATCAAGGAACTTGGCCAATCAAATGAAAATGCCATCGAAACTTTTCTGAAGACAGTCAATTCCCTTCAGAGATGCATTCATGTAAAACACCCGCGCCGTGTTATGGTTTTGAAAAGTGCAGTGCTCATGTTTATTCACGAAGTCAAACGCCACAAATAAATCAATGTATGGGAAACTGGTAATGTATATCGATACATCGGAAATGTGTTTAAAAATCATATCACCGTTATTGAAAAAAATTATATCGCGATACATATTAATAGAATTATTGTCCAGCCCTAATTTGGGGCTTGTTTTAAAATTTCAATGTAGTTTTGTTGTTTACATTATATTAACATTTTGTCATTTAGCAAACGCTTTTATCCAAAGCGACTTACAAATGAGGACAATAGAAACAATCAAAACCAACAAAAGAGCAACAATATGCAAGTGCTATATTAGTATATTATTATAGTGTTAGATTTCAATTTCACAAAGAAATGTGCCGCATTTTGTCCAAGCAATAATAAAAGGACACATTTCATTTATAATTTGTCTTAAATCTCATTTTGTAGAGATTTCGTTAATCGAATGTGACTTGAGTGAATCATTACATCCCTAGCTAACGGTCTAATCAGATTCAATGATCTATGCTAAGCTACAGCTAAAAGTGCTACCGCCAGACCCGGAGATCGGCTGATTGGATTCGAAAACGGTAAAACTCAACATGTGCCTATTTTCAAAACTAGTGGAGTGTTCCTTTAAGGGTCAGCAGGGCTTTCTTTGGAAAAGTGATTTTATTCTCCATGTTCTCAATTGATCAAATCAACCTTCATAATATTACAAAAGATGTCTGTTTTCAAATAAATGCTGCTTACTTTCCATTCATTGAAGAATAAAAAAATTTAAAAAATCAGCACAACTATTCCCAAAATTAACAAGAAATGTTTCTTGAACAGGATCATGTGACATTGAAGACATGGCTGCTGAAAATTAAAATTTACCATCATAGGAATAAACTATTTAAAAATTACAATAGTAAACAGTTCTTTTAAATTTTAGCAGCATTTCACAATATTGCCATTTTTACTGTATTTTTGATCAAATAAATGCAGCCTTGGTGAGAATAAGAGGACTTGAGTCAATAGACAGCAAGTGTTACTCTGAAAACATTAGTCAATACCAATAGAGAACCTGAATGAATTTGTGCACAGACGTCACTCTGACTGTTCAGGGTCTGCATACCTGGTTGGCATCAGATGGTTGTAGTTGAACACCTTCACAAAGGCCTTGATCTTGGACCTCTTGGCTATCTTCTTCTTGCCCATGGTTGTTGTGACTTTACGAGGATAACGATCGATGCCTGCGACCAGAGCATGGCTGTAAGGACGGTCTGAGGTGCCATCATCAATGTTCTGCCAGGAGAAACAGAGCACAACACTGTCAATATACAAACTCTCAACGCGGTATACTCAAACATCTTTTCCTTGATACTGTGAAACATTAAAAGTACCTTGACAATCACAGCCTTGCGTCCGGCATACCGTCCAGCCAGGACCATCACCACCTTACCAGGTTTCATAAACTTGCCCATCGCTGAAAAACATGTGTGTGTACATTTCATTAGCACCAAAAGCAAAACCAGAATACAAAACAAGTAGCACAATACAAGCTCTTAATGTAGCCAAACATCTTACAATAAGAAAAATTATAATAACGCAATAAAATAACTTGTCATAGTTAAAAAGATGCAATAAATGCCGGTTGTTTCTTCTGGGCAGCACGTTTATAAAACAAGATCGATCTAGGCGTAGCACTATGCTAACTGGTAATTATACAGCTGTATTAACAAGTCGGAATATCCTAGCCCTTCCACAACGGAACTTTATTTGATCTTTATTCACATATTAATGTTTCTTGCACACGTGCAATAATAAACGCATCTCCTCAGCCATCACTGACGGACAGTTAAGCTTTCATGTCGCTATCAGACAGAGACGGAGCGAATTCTAAACCCATCATCTTTCAAAGCTGGCGACATATTCAGACAATACACACTTTAGATGATCGTCAGGGGTATTCGCTCTGTAAGTAACATGAAAGGAAGCCCGCGGTTCTTATTTCTTTATCGATGTTCATGGATTATGTTCTCGTGTATGAAACTTACTGATGGTGCTCAATGGCCGACGATAACGGGAAAGGAAGTAGAAAGAGCGAGCGTGACCCTTGACACCGACGGCCAGTGACGTATTTCCGTCGATTTCTTCAGTAGACTTTGATAAAGTAGAATGTACCCCTCTACAAAAAAAATAAATAAATAAAAATAAAACGTAAAAAAAAGTACCCCTCTACTGCAGAGTCTGTACGAAACACATATAAGTTTCACATATGCGGTCACGTGTAGACTCAGGTTTGGCCAAACAAATAAGAAATGCCTTCCTTGTAACTTAGTTCGTTTGTGCGAAGATGTTGATTTAAAATGACAGGAAAATACATTCAGTGATTTAGTTTCAATTCGGACAACTTCAAAAAAGACATATACATATATATATATATATATATAAACATAACAAAAGTGTTTCTCAATGCACCACAAAATGCCCATCATAATATTTTCAGAAAACTTTAATTATTGTATAAATTGAATTGTTTTACTGTAATTATTTGATTCTGGAAATACCTCATGTGTATGATAAAGTGTGTGGGCTATTTATAATAAAAATTCAATTATAATGATAATAATAATTGAAAAAATACACTTGTATGCTTTTGTGATTTTCTTCTCATTTTCTTCTAATTATAGCTACTTCATTTTAAACTCAATTTAGAGTTCTACATCGTGCTACCTCAATTCAAATTCAGAATTTAAATGGGAATTTCTTGTAATTCTAATTCCTTGAGTTTACGTTCAATTTACAGTTCTACAGTTTTCAGAAGTCCAAAAACTGAAACGCAGTTCAATTTGATAGAAGACATTTCTCAGTTAAATTCTGACTAACATGAGATCATATCAAACTGTTACTATAATGACTAAAACTATTCTGTAAATCATAAATATATTCAATTACATTGTTTAAAAAAAGAGCTGATGAGAAGTGAGAAAATGACTGGAGAAAATATGACTGCATCAGATTCATAGTCCATACAATACATTTAATCCATGAAATCACTGAAGTGAGACCATCATTACATCCAAAAATGATGGCACAAATTTTATAAAAAGGAATGTTGCTGACACTGATTTGAAATCACTATTGAAATAACTGAAAGTCTTATTCTTTCCAAGAAGAGGTACAAAGACAATAATAATTTCTTAAATAGATATGATAGGACAAAACACACAAACAGACATCAAAAGAGGCCAAGCATGTATTCAGGTTGATAATATTTTTTTTAAAAAGCAAGTGGGAAAGTAACTACATTAAATAAGGGCTAATAAATGCATCACAACCATTCCTTCATATTCTAATGGTGCAGAGAAATACACTGAATGCTGAATCCATTTCCATGATGTGGTAACAAACAGCCCCTTCTTACTGGATGAAGGTTTCAGTAAATCAGTATTCAGGGTGGTTTAAGGAATGAGAAATCTGGAGTCACAACGGGTACAGTAGCAGAATACAATTTCAAGGATTGTACATTCAATATTTCAGAGCAGTAAACAAGGATTGACAAGACATGGAAATAGCAGGTATTCAAGAAGAGCCTCTGAACGCTGGCATAGCATAACAGGTCATAAATAATTCAGTCAGTGCCGATGCACAGCATACCAGACTCATATTCAGCAAATGTGCTGAATGACCTCCATTTAATTCAGTTCACTTGCTGTGCTTCTGTAGCAACGAATGAGCAGCACTACCACAAGATGCAGTTTTCTACAATAATTTTTAAGGTGTCAAATGGCTGTGGAAAGGAGTTAGAGGAGAGAAGTGATTTACAAACACCAATAAGCATGTCTTTGTTTGTTCAGAATGACCTGAGTGTGTGTTGATTGACCTAAGTGAGGTCTCACCAGCATGCATGGTCTCCTCAGAAAGCGATACAAACACACAGAGCAGCAAAGACCCAGACATTATATGCACTATATCTCAGTGTTTGAAATGTAATGACCCTTAATAATGCAAATGGAAACCAGTCTTAAATTAAAAAGATCTTTTGATTTAACTTTGAACCAATGTAGTGCAAGCTCAGAAAATGAGTGCACTTGGCTACATAGGTTTAGAACAAAAAATGCAATTAAACCATTATGTCACTGTTTTGTAACTATATAGTAGTGCATCTCAAACATACGCAATGGCCCTTAAAAGGATTTCAAGTAATAAATCATATTTCTACATAATGTTGTTGATTTTGGTAAAAGCTTAACAAGCTCAAAGGTAAGGTGGCGGCAGTTACACGCTCAGGGTCACTAAACTGAGCACATAAAGGATTTCAAGTAATAAATCATATTTCTACATAGAGTAATGTGGTTGATTTTGGTAAAAGCTTAACAAGCTCAAAGGTAAGGTGGCGGCAGTTACACGCTCAGGGTCACTAAACTGAGCACATTTCCTTTTAGTTGTGACCAATGCAGCATATTAAAACCTGACTTCTTCATCATCCTCTTCAGTTTAGAGACAAGACCCAACAGCAACATAGAGTCTCAAGAAAGTGCACAAGTTGATTCATTTCCAATTTTTTAATTCCAGTGGACTTGTTGATTTGGGAGTATCTTTTAATTTGATTTAAACATGTGTTAAGCTATATATTAGTGTTATATTGTAATTAGTGTTTTTTTTTTTAATCATAATTTTTGAGATTATGAGGGTTCCCTTTTTTCCTCAACCTGCCAAAATGCCCATACATTTCTTTTGTTTAGAAAGCATCTTTGATATTTTTAAGCTGCCTGACAGCCAAATCTACAGGAAGGCTGAATTTGAGATGGCTGAGGCGGCCCAGGATGCGCAGGGCACCTTCAAAGCCTGTTTGGGCCATGTAGCTCCAGGGCTGGTAGTGTGAGTGGATGAGTGTCCCAGACTTACACAGCAGGTTGAGCCAGGACACAAGCCTCTGCTCATTGAGCGCCATGCACACTAAGGCCTTAAACTCAGAGTCCGCACTACGCTTGAATCGTCCATGCTCTTTGAGAACTGTATGGATGGCCCATAACAGAGACTGCTTGGGCGTGACCGTGACAGGACCGTCCCCTACAGGCAAACTGAAGGATTGAGAGAGCTGTCGAGCGGGCGATTCCACAAACGCCTGGCCGTTTTTGGAATGATAGTACTTGACAAAAAGTTCCCAGGGATGCAGGGTCTGGGGAGAAGAGCTGAAGGGCAGCAGGCAGGAAATGGGGGCAAGGACTAGGCTCATACCCTGGGAAGGAGCGTACAGTCCGTGGGCCAGCAGGTCCCGGAGTGCCAAGGCCAGTTCTTTACGCACAGAAGCGGTAAGTTCATCCCAAGGTCCTCCAGGCGACAGGCAGGCAGAGTAGCTGACCACGTGTTCCTCCTGAGAGTTGGGCTGCTGGCGGGAGGCTTGCAGACGGACGAGCTCCACGGCTCCTTCAAGTTTCTGCAGCAGGGGGCCGTAATCTTGAGCCTCGCCACCCTGAGACCATACATTCCGGGGCACGTGGCCCGCGGCGCAACCGAACTGACTCAGTGCAAAGATCTGCAGCACCGCTAAGGCTTTCTGGATCAGCTGAAGCCCGGTTTCCCGCATCCTCTGGGCCTGTTCGGGATCCACTTTGGACAGAGAGAAGGGATTTAAAGTTTCAAGTCTTAGCTGTAAATTCCAATAAAAAAGGTATTATGAAGTGAAGTATAATTACCTCGCTTCATCCCTCCAGTGGCTCCAGTGTTTGGTCCGGCAGCATGGGCCTGCTGGCTCTTCACACCATCATTTAACAGAGGGTTCCCCACTTCATCTGAGAGGAGCAAGATCAGGATGGTAATCTAAATGTATTTATGTTGCTCCACATAGGCACATCAAACTCAAAGGTAACAGATTAGATATTATGCACAGGAAACTAGTACAGTGGGCTCTGCAGATAGTGGCATAAAGCTCAATGATAACCACTACTGTTCAAAAGTTTGGGGTTAGTAAGATTTTTATAAAAATATATATTTTTTTTTAAATTATACTAACACTTTTATTCAGCAAAGATACATTAAATTGATAAAAAAAAACTCACTATTTAATAAAGAATCCTGAAATAAAATGCATCGGTTTCCACAAAAAATATAAAGCAGCACAGCTGTTAATAATAATCAGAAGAATAATCTGTAAATAATAATACATGTTTCCAGAGCACCAAATCAGCATTTAAGAATGATTTCTGAAGGATCATGTGAATTAATATTCAGAAACTGATCTGACTGTACAGACACTATCAAATAAGAACACAAACAGCTGAGTCGTTTCATAATCGATGCATTTTGCAACACTGACACTGTTATTAAACTGAATTGATTCAACATTGAATCTGAATTAAGCTGGATAATGACACCATTATCTGCGGTGAAGCTGCTTTGAAACAATCTGTATCGTATAAAGTGCTATTCAATACATAAGACTTGACTAAAGACTGGGGTAATGCTGCAATTCAGCTTTGACATCACAGGAATAAATTACATTTTAAAATAGAATTAAAAAACAGTCATTGTTCAATTGTAATAACATCACATTTACTGTATTTGATCAAATAAATGCAGCCTTTGGTGATCATAAAATACTTTTTTTCAAAAACATCAAAAAAAATCTTACAGAATCCACACTTTTGAATGTTGGTGTATATTTGCATAAATATGACAAAAACGACCATCACATCATTGACCCATAAGCAGACCTCCTCACCCTGTATGAAGTTAATGAACATCTCCAGGTCTCTGATTTGGGTCTTGAGCTGCTCCACCAGCTGCTCTTTGACTCGAGCCGGGTTGACTATCTGAGCTATAGCGGCGTCAACTCTCTGTCGGAGCTCCTCTGGAGTGAGGTTCCCAATGTCTTCATTCAGATTCACATCCAGCTTCTTAATCAGCTCATCAATGATCACCTACAGTATTGAGGTGGACAGACACTAAATAAAATGCCCCAACAATGGTTTTAAGGGTAATCACTTCACAGACCATTACATCTTTAAATGACTTTCAGAATGATGTCAACAATATGAGAGTGTATTATCACATGTACCCTCTGTCTCTCCATGACCACAGACTGAGGTAGTGAGTCATAGCTGCCCTCCTGGTAGGCGAAGCGTTCCAGGTCGTCAAGTTGAGTCTTCAGCTGGAGAATCAGCTCCTTCTGCTTCTTTCTCTGAGCTTCCAAGCGTTCCCTCTTCTCTCTTTCACTCTGCATATTATAAAAGCACAAACACACAATCAAACAAACTTTAAAAACCTAAAGTCAAACTTAAAATATCAACAATGTTTACACTGTAGCTAGCTGAACATATTTGCATATGCTCCTCTGATGAAGGATAATGAGCTTTTAATTAGTTTGCTTCATTTGGTTTAGCTTTGCTTATCCAGAAATGCAAAGCAATTCAGAATAGACATTGCTATACACACAACATGGTTATAGTTTGACTATAATCTTGTAAAGATTTTACATGTAATAGTCTCTGGGGAACAAAAATGTAACTGATTAATACAAAAAAGAAAAAGAGACCGAACAAAACCAAATCAAGTATGAACTTGATATATATCAGGAATACTTCAAGTAAACACTTAAGTTTAAAGAAAGACTGCACAAGGGTCATATTCATAGTACTCACCAATTCATCCTGCAAGCAAAGAGTGCAGAGGAGGAAATAAGAGGAAAGGAATGCATTTTAATGGCAGTAACAAGATACTCCAGCAGGAAAAAATACAGGGAAAGAGATGTTCCTTGAATAGTGTTTACTGTGATTTTTATCACAATACTGTGTTGATTATTTTTAAGAGGGGGTTGATTAGTTACTTGAATGACACAAAAACATGCCTTTTAACAAGAGAGATGCAGACAAATTGAATGCTGATTCCTGAGGGCATCACAGGGATATTGTATAGGCTGATCACGTGTGAATGAAAGGGGGTTTGTGTTATTATGTGTGGGTGTATCACAGGTGCATATTGTTACAGGAACTATTGAAGCAGGCTTATTGAAAACAAAATAACACTGATGACACTGTAGATCAGAGGTTTTCAAACTGGGGTCCACTGAAAAGTTTAGAAAAACAGTGTAAAATATATATAATTAATAAAAAGTAAAGATTACAATAAATAAATAAACTAAAAACTAGATTATAATAGATCAAAACTGAGCAAAATAGGTAAATAAATAATAAATATAACAGTGCAGTACTATAATGAGTAGATTTTGTTTTAAATAATGTAACTTAATAGAAAATAAATATTTTCCCAAATAATAACTTAGACAAATTTATAATAATAATTTGTGCACACAGTGTAATTTGGGTCTTTATACAAGAGATTATGTAAATGTATTTTACATTTTAGGATGGGATCCCTCACACAAGGATGATCATATATTAAGGGCCTGTGGTGTCTAAAAGATTGAAAAGCCCTGCTGTATATTACATGTATTTGAAATGGGTTCATGCCATTCTCCTACAAAGCACTTGTTTTGAGTCATATTTGAGATCTGCAGGTGTTACCATAACTGCTGGGGGTGGGGGGGACTAAGCCTGTTTGCTGGTCTTAGCTGGTTCTAGCTTGACCAAGCTAACTTATGCTGGTTTAGCTGGACCCCAGTGTGGCCAGGCTGGTATTTAGCTGGATTGCCAGCTGGTTCTGGGTCTTGGGAGATCTTGGGTTGGTTTACTATGTTTTGGTTTTTCTGCAGGGTAGAGAATCACTACGACAGAAAACAATGAAACTCACAGAGTTTTCCAGCATCTGAGCATCCTGTGTCCTGCAGCCTATAACATGAGGGCATCCTTTGAAGGCAAACTCTTCCAGCTCCAGCAGCATCCTCTCTTTCTCGTCGCTCTGCGCGTGGACAATCTGTTTCAGCCGAAACTGCACTTGAGCGAAGTGAGACGTTAACGCGAGGAGCGATGAATTCAACTGCCCCTGCTCGCCCTCCAGCTTCCTCAACCTGCATACCAAGTCTGCATCGCTAGACGACACAGAACCAGCCTGCGTGCCTCTCTTCCACTGCTCATCCTCCGGGTTGGCCACGGCTCCCACGGGCGCCCAGCGCTCCCCGGCTCCCGCGAAGGCAGCTTCGCTGTCGGAAGTGGACAGATCCTCCGTCGACATGTGATTGGTAGCTGAGGTAGACAGCCTGGCTGTCCTTTTACTGAAAACAACCTCGTCCAACTTAATTGATGCGCAATTGTTTTAACGTGAATTCAGAATATACGCAACCACCGCTTTAGCAGGTGCAGCGCTGTGTAATACCTTCAGAAAACATTGCTACGTAATCGAAACGACTAAGATCTTGAGATAATATGGAACCAACGCACCACAGTTCCAACAATCGTGCGTTCTATCAATATGTTCTATGTATCAACGAATGTGTGGGCAGGATGTTTACGTTAGTGCGTAATGACGTCAGAGAAACGCACAGTGAAATCGACGGCTTTACAGTTTGTTGAGGGTTTCTGTCCATATTTACGCTTCCTTCAATTCTTTCTGTGTTTGTTTTATTGCAACGCCCTAAGTGTCAGTGGGTTGGACTGCGTGCCAAACACACCCTTGGAATGTTTTGTCCCAGCAGAGATTTTTATTAGCACCATCGACCAGGGGTTTCTCAAAAGCATTGTTAGATAACTATGGTTGCAAGTTCCATTGAATTCTATTGGTAAACTATTAGTTTTGCTTTTGGGAAACGCACCCCAGAGGGATTTGGTAGATCCTAACTGCAGCAACAGTTATCTGTTCTGTTATCTGTTCTGCTGCCCTCTGCCTGTGGCTGACGTTCAAGTTTTTATAAACTCCATTTCTGTATTTTCCGGGTTGTTTTTATACAGTCTATGGTTCTTTCTTACTATGCAAAAATAAATAAATAAATAATTTATAACTGTATATATATATACACACACACATATAAATCAGCCTCGTTTTCTGGTTCACTGCTCTTGTCTCTAACCAGGTGAGACCAAGTGTGCCGCACGAGTCCTAAAAAGTGAAGCCAAAGCATCTCGATTGCTGCAGTACAGGTCATAAACCCCGCCCTCTCCATGTAATGTAATGGGACCCGAGACAAACTAAACAAACAATCAAATTACACTTCCAATAATATTTTTCCAAAGACATTTTCTGTCTTCTTATGCCGAGTTCACACTGCACGATTTTCAAACTCGTCGGATCGCTCACACTGCGTGACTATCTGGGCCAGCAAGTGGAGACCAGAGACTCGTTGTCCATCTTTTTTACAGTCTATGGGTGAGACAAACAAATAAGCTTAGGGTGGTCTTTCTTTCTTTCTTTCTTTCTTTCCCCAGCAAGTTATGGCCTACAAGCTATTTTTTTACAGACACATTACACAAAAAACTAAATGTATTATTTTTACTTTTAAAAATTACATTCCTTGCAAAAGGTGATGTGAAACATTAAATAAATTGTGAAAAATTGGTTGATCAGTCACAGCACCTAAAATTTCGACTTTCTTACATACACAATTAATTAACATACCTTCATTTTGGGGGGAAACAAATTCTGCGTACCTATTTGTAATTATTATATATTTTTATGAAATACAAAATAAATATTACTTTTCTAACAATTGTAATAAATCTATATGAATTTTAAATAAATGTAATACATTTGAATTTGGATCAATTTGAAAGTGAAAAGAAGGTTCAAAAGACAGACAATTTTCTTTTATCTCTCTTTAACTCACGGTTTCAGATTGGTCACATTTTTACCAAAGAAAACTTTTAGTTATCTGTTACAACGCTCAGTCAATATAACTGATAAAAACAAACACTTAAATCAATAAAGACGACAATTACACAACTAATGGTAAAGAGCTGCAATAAGGACGTTACACAGAAAAGGTGATGTTTGTTATCTGAAGAGATCAATTTATTATGTTTCCTTGTCCAGGGCAATGTGGTCATAATCACAAGACACAAGATCATGTTATGTCAAGTCTGAAAGAATGTAACCTGTAAACCATAGAGGCCTGTGATATTTGTACATGGCAAGTTATAATGATAGATGTGTGAATTAAATCCAGCCACTATCCTCTATGCTTCAATATGTTTCATCTTTTCATCATTCCATAGTCAACTTATTCTTCAGATAAACTGAGCAGTAACCAAAACACTGGAAACCATCAAAAATTATGAACAGTGTACACTTATAATGACCCATTCTTAAAATGGACAGTATAAGAGTAAATGTAGAGTGTAAAATGGCTCAGTGGATAATATGTAGTTGGTATTACTGATAGACAATGGGAACAGATAATAACCATCACATTCAGCCCTAATGAAACTTTCTCCTGCAAATAAAAATGTCTGGCTGTTTCTGATTAGTACTTTGATAAATGTAACATTTTTAAAAATATGACACTTTAGGGAGTGTTGGCCATTTACGCCACTGAGTGGGAACAACACAGGTGTTTTGTTGTTGTTGTTTTTTTACAGAGTACTAGCTCGTTTCTTTTTGGAGAAGAACACCCTCCAGTTTTTCCAGCTCTTCCAGTCAAAGCTTAAGTCTGAAGTACAAATTCCACCCTCGCCACATTTGTATCCAGCAGGGCAGCAGTGTTTCATATCATCACAGCACTCCGCCTTCAGAGAGAGCAATAACAAAGGAAAGAGAGGAGTAAGGGAAAGGACAAGGACAAAAATAGGAACTTGACTAAGATAAACATTTACAATTTGACTGCCATTTGAATTTACAGAAAAGTCAATAGAACTGAGATCACAAGACAGTGTGGCCATTTCCATTAATATATTCAAAGGAAATTCATTCTCTGATGCAGCTATTATGCACTGGAACATCTTTAAACCATTACGTTCTTTAAATGAATTTTAACTTTGAGCATATACCGTTACATGTAAGATTTAAAGTGATAGTTCACTCAGAAATGTAAATTCGGTCATAATGTGCTCACCCTACTGTTGTTCCAAACATGTACAATTAAAAAAGATATTCTAAAGAATGTTTCCACTGTTTGTGTGCATATAAAGAAAGTCATTGGTGTTTTAAAACAACATTATTGTTTTAAAACACCCCAATGGTTTTTATTGTATGGATAAAAAAAATACAGACACAAAAAATGTCTTCTTTTGTGTTCCACAGCTGAAAGAAAGTTTGGACCAACATGGATGTGAGTAAATGATGACACATTTTTTCCTTTCTATCCATTTAAGGTTTAATACTTCACCTTAAGTGCTTGCCTTTTGGTTGCAAAAATGTTTTTATTCGTGTTTTCCATTAAATATTTAGACATCCTTAAACAAGATACACTTGAGAGTTAATGAAACCTATTTTCATTTTATTTTTACTACATGGGCATTTTTATTTATTTATTGCTGTGTTTATGTGTAAAATAATAATAAAATAACTAAATTAATTCCAGATATATACTCTGAAAATAAGTATTTTTATCTTCTCAAGTATGATATAAAGTTGAGTAATTGAGAACAAATTTGTAATTTTTGGGTGAACTATTGTTTTAAGGTTTAATGCATTACCTTTGGAGATGGGCAACAGCCCCAGGTGGACTGGGAAGTTAGACAACAGGTCTCACTGTCTTTGCAACTATATCCAGCTCCACATTGAATGTCCTTTTCTGAGACACTCGACTGTAGTGTTTGGCCACCAATGTGGGCAAGTGGGACTATTTCCACATGCAGCCAGGTGGTTTTAATGCAGGAGCGTCTACGTAGATCACACTTGTAGCCTTTGGGACAGCAGTGCTCCCGGTCTGGGCAGCAAACAGCCTATGGCATATAAGATGCATATGAAATGAAATACTGAACGTGAATAGATTTTCTGTCGCCAGTCCACATACACATATTCTTACCTCAGGAAGAGGGCAGCAGCCCCTTTCTCCCGTGGACAGATAACAGCAGGTTGAATCTGCAGAGCAACTTGACTGCTCGTCGCACTTAACAGCATCGAGATCCAAGCTTGGAGCCGGTGTGCTTTGAGCATAAATTTTATTGTACCAGGGGATCACCACATCTCCCTTGATGCAAGACACCCTGGTCACATCACACTTATAGTTAGCCGGACAGCAGTGTTCACCATCTGTGCAACATACAGCCTGAGAAAAAATGAGAAAAAGGTTCAAGTTGAACACTTATGGGCAATCTTGAGTTTTTAATAAATCTAATATAAAAGTAATGAGGTTTATGTTTAAAAAAAATATTTAAGGAAAAAATCAACTTAATTACATACACTACTGTTTAAAAGTTTGGGGTCAAATTAATTTTTTAAAAGAAATTAAATAAATTCTATTCAGCAAGGATGCATTAAATTTACCAAAAGTGGCAGTAAATAAATGTATACTGTTACTAAAATTTTTTGTATCAAATAAAAGCTGTTTTTTTGGACTTTCTATTCATCAAAGGATCCTTTAAAAAAATGGATCATGGTTTCCAGAAAAATATTAAGTAGCACAAATGTTTTCAACATTGATATTTAAAGTATATTAAAATAAAATAAGCAGTTATTTAAAATTGTATTAATATTTAACAATAGTACTGTTTTTCTTATTTTTGATCAAATAAAGGCATCCTTAGTGAGTAAAAGAGACTTCTTTTAAAGGCAATAAAAAACCCTACCGACCCCAAATTTTCGAGCCATAGGGTAATTCGCTGAAAATAGGTCTTACACAGTTTGCTGAGCACTTGAAGAACATCATTGTGAAAGAGGGACTGAGGGATATCACCAAGAGTAATAAAAATTCAAAGTTGTAAGCGCAGTGTGTATTTTCTCATTTGGTTACTCATGCAAGATTAGATAGAAGTATTTCTCCTCTGAGATATACTGTACCTCAGGCAAAGGACAGCAGCTCCAGTCTCCATCGGTGTTCTCACAGCAAGTGTTGGAGTCAGGACAAACGTGGCTAGAGTCGCAGTTCACGTTCCCAGGTGACCTTTGACCTGCTCTAGGGAGAGCAGGCACCTTCTCCAGCCAAGGCTTAGAGCCCGAAGACTCGTCACATGACCCGGCAGCAACGTTACACGTCGTACCATGAGAACAGCAGTGGATAAAGTCATCACAACACACGGCCTACAGAGAAAATTGAGTTATCTTATCAAAAGATATTCTTTTGTGTTCCACAGAAGAAAGAAAGTTTAACAGAATTATTCCTTTAATCAATCAGGTCATTTACCTCTGGTAGAGGACAGCAGGCCCATCCTCCTTCTTGAGTCTTACAGCATGTGTTTCCATCTGGACAGGATGCGGTGTCATCACAGGAAACATTTGAATGCACTGAAAACACTAGAAAAGAACAAACCAGTTTAAGAACAAATAAAATGGTATTATTCTGTGTCTGTGTGCACTGGATTCAGTGCTTTGAACTACCTTGTGTAACAGCCACATTCTGATTGCTGATTGGTTTAACGGGCAGCTTCTCCAACCAGGGCTCAGAGCCTGAAGACTCGTCACATGACCCGGCAGCAACGTTACATGTCGTACCATGAGGACAGCAGTGGATGAAGTCATCACAACACACGGCCTACAGAGAAAATGAACATACACCTTTAACTTAACTCAAAACACAACTCTGCATCAGGATTGGCTATTGTCAGTGGGTGACTTACCTGTGCTAGAGGACAGCAGGCCCATCCTCCTTCTTTAGTCTTACAGCATGTGGTTCCATCTGGACAGGCCGCAGTGTCATTGCAGGGAACATCAGAGACTGAATGTACAGAAAGTACACAGAGTTTTATGTTAAATGTGTACCTGTGTGTTTGGTTTCAGTGCTTTGGGGGGTTTGTTGACTTACTTTGTGTGTCAATAATATTCTGACTGATGACTGGCTGCACAGGCACCTGTTCCACCCAGGGCACACCAGAATATGAAGGGTCCTCACAAGTCCCAAGAGCAACGTTACATGTCTTACCATGAGGACAGCAGTGGGTGAAGTCTTCACAACACACGGACTACAGAACAAAATGAAGATGCTCCTTTAACCTTGTGCACAAAATTTTAATACTTACAAAAAAACAGTACAGTTTCATGGTGCTGGATGATTACCATATCTATCATGGTATTTCTAAGCATTACCATGGTACTTTACAAACCCCCCTCCACCCACCCCACCGTGATGTCCCCCTGTGAGGGACCACCATCCTAAAATATAAAAATATATAAAGAACTATTTAAACTGTTTGGGGATAAAAACTCTTAAGTATAATATTATGGAAACAAAAATGCTTAATATGTTAAATTTACACTATCATTTGCAAGTTTGGGGTCAATAAGATATTTTAGGAAATTAATACTTTTATTGATCAAAGATGCATTAAATTCAATCAAACGTTCAATCAAAAGTTCAAAAGTCACAGTAAACACATTCATAATGTCACAAAAGATTTGTTTCAAATAAATGCTGTTCTTTTCAACTTTATATTCATCAAAGAATTCTGAAAAAAGTATCACATTTCCACTAAAATATTAAGCAGCACAGCTGTTTTCAACATTGATAATAATAAGAAATGATTCTTGTGCACCAAATCAGCATATTAGAATGATTTCTAAAGGATCATGTGACACTGAAGGCTGGAGTAATGACTGCTGAAAATTCAGCTTTGTCATCATAGGAAGAATTTACATTTTATAATATATGAAAATAGAAATAAGTTATTTTAAATTGTAATAATATTTTACAATATCTCAAATTGTGTTTTTTAATACATAAATGTAGCACTGGTGAGCAAAAGATAAATCTGTCAAAAAAAATTACAAACTTTAGAACAGACATGTATATGGTCAAATTATTTAAATTTGATCTAAAATATATATTTGCGTTAGATGTATAACCTTTAAAACAAATAAATGAAAAAAATATATTATTTTTACTTTTACAACCTACATAAGTTTTTTTCTTATATTTCCTGTGGACCTTGTGGTGCATATAGCACTGTTGTGCTTCGGGTGTCCCGGCTCTTGGACCTTTTCTGATCCCATCCCCCTCTCTCTCCCACTTTGCTTCCTGTCTACATACTGTTCTATCATAATAAAAGGCAACAACACCAAAAATAAAATAAAAAATTATTCTGTGGATTCCCAAGCATCCCTAGTGCAAACTGTAGAGAGACGTTCTTGGAGAGATGTAATGGCTGAGCTAATTGTCCATGGGGTGCAATGCATTGATTCTGCGAAAGTAATAGATCAGGTGAGGCGATTTACCTCTGGTAGAGGACAGCAGGCCCATCCTCCTTCTTGAGTCTTACAGCATTTGGTTCCATCTGGACAGGCCGCAGTGTCATTGCAGGGAACATCAGAGACTGAATGTACAGAAGGCAATAACAGAAACCATTTGAGAAGTGTTATTATTTATGTGCACATAAAAAACATGTATGTATTGCCATGTACAAATTTGCACATACTCTCTGGGAGTGCACCAGCCAATGTAGTCATTTGTATGCCAGCAGTAGTGATTTGTCTGGTTGTAGTGAGTTCAGCTTCAGCCCTCATTTCTGCAGCTTTTGAAGAATAAGGACAAAGAAATGAAAATGCTGAATTATATCAGTGGAGGTTATCAGAAAATTAATAACTCTCTCGGACAATAGCCTACGTTTGTGATCTTCCCATTCAGCTCTAAGACGAGCAGGGAACTTGGCCCACATAGGCAGCTCCTGATTGGTGGACACACATTTGGAGCCTTCAACATCACAGACACTGTCCTCTGGACAACAGTGGATTTTATCATCACAACATACAGCCTACAGAAAACACAAATGACAGAGAAAGGAATGCAAGTGAAAACATTCATAAACAAATTAAGAAATTAATCATTTTATTCAGCAAGGATTCTTGAATATGATCAAAAGTGACAGGGAGGCTTATATATATACATATATTTATTTAATTTTTTTTCTCTCTCTCTCAAATAAATGCATAAATATTCAAAATATAGAAGAAATTCAGTTTCAAAAATGCATATTTATTTAAATATGTTTCTCCGACTGAAAAAACAGCTTAATTTTCTGAACTGAGAACTCAGTGTCAGCATGTCTCTGCATATATTACTGTATGTGAACTGTTCCGCTACCTTTGGCATGGGGCAGCATGCCCACGGACCATCGTCTGTCTCACAACATGTGGTGTCCACGGGACATTCTGAGGTCCCATTTCCACAAAGAACAGTCTTGACTGGTTCTAAGAACAATCACAGGACAACACCGTGAACCACACTTATATCCTATCCTAATGAATACAGTTACTCATACTACTGTAAACCCGTAATACATTTATATGGGATCTCCTTTAAATAAAGGATGATTTAATCATGAAAAGTCTCTAGTCCACCTTCATTCCTTCAGTCTCTTCCATACCTTTTAGTTTGACACACAAACTGCTGTCTGCACTGCATTCATGGTCTTTTGGGCAGCAGTGTTTCCCGTCTGAGCACACAAGGCCCTGAAAAAGAGAAGAACATAGTATATATTCTTATAACAAAAAAAAAAGTCTAGAAAAGAATATATCTCAAAGGGTCTATGTTTTAGCAACACCACGCTTCTTTTGTGACCAGGTGACAGGCCATTCAATACACCATGTCATGGACAAGAAGCTGGTGGTTTGGGCCCATATTCCTGTGATAATGTAACTTACCTGTGCTACGGGACAACACCCATATGATGAAGCCATCAGAAGACAGGAGAACTCAGCAGGACAGAATGAGCCATCAGGACAGGTGGTGTCATCTTCACTTGCAGGTAATGAGGGAATCATTCTGAGCGACTGAGGAACGAGGATTATTAAAGGGACAGTTCACCATAAATGAAAATTCTGTCATCATTCACTCACCCTAATTTTCCATAGTATGGAAAAAAATACTCAATGGCTACCACGTTGGTTTGGTTACCAACATTCTTCAAAATATCTACTTTCAGATTTGGAACAAAATGAAGGGTGGGTAAATGATTACAGAATTTTCATTTTTGGGTGAACTATCTCTTTATAACATAACAAACAGCTTCGAGTACTATTATTTAGAATCTTTTTTATAATTTCTCACTTTGGGAAGGTCTGTCCGTTTAGCCGGTATCCTCTCCACAAATGACAGTGTATGTGTGGCGTTTATACACGTGGAGTTTACAACACTGCACAGCATGCCTTCAGGACAACAGTGCAGGTGGTCCTCACAACACTCTCCCTACACACACACACAAATAATTATACACACGTATGAGCTGATCATACACACAAACATACTGTAAACCGTTTGTTGAGCAATATTGAAGCTGGATATTTGACACACAACCTCCTGAATACAGCTTCATTTCTTTGAGCTCTTTGAATAGCAAAGTCATCAAAGAGCAATTTGCATGTTGATACTATACGAGTGCCTTATCATAACCCTTATTACATGAGCTGACAGTGTGAATGTGTCTAAAAAAAGGGTGCTATATCTGACAGAGCATAAAAAACGAGTGACCGCAGAACACTGTCTTCCATATCAGTGTACAATTTACCTTCTCGTCTTGTCTAATCTACTTTCTACAACCTTTATTATGTTTATAGAAGAGTAGCTGGCACTAATACTCTGAACTGAAACTGTCTTTATGTATCTGTCACTAGTTTAGTTGCTCACGTGATGGAAAGGGCAGCAGCTGAACTCTCCAGTGGGATCCTGGCAGCATGTCTGGCCTGCCTCACAGACTTCATTGTTGGGGTACTGCGAGCAAGCAACCAGAGTCACCAGAGCGAGGCCGAATGTCACTTTCAACATCTGGATGGAATGAGAGAGTTAAAAGTTTTAAAAGTAACAGATTTGAAATGTGAAAAGTGTCTGATGTGTTTAAGCAGAAAATGCAAATACAAACTTTCATTCATTTGGAATACTGTAACCCATCAGACCTTCACGTCTAAGACGCAGGGTCACAATTTAACAAACCTTTTCAGATGTATAAATCACTGTATCCTCTTTTGTTGAGCTATAACAGTGCAAGTATATGATTTTAATTTGTGTACCACTTCCTCCACATCTAGACATTTGAAGCAAAAGCTTACCAGAGAAACTACGGTGACCCCAGAAACAATAACTGAAACTCAGGGTTATAAATGTTTGAGAAAAAGTTGTTCAAATCCAGCAAAATAAATATTGTTATACAGTTGGTGAGTATCTTATTTTCTTATTTCTGACTGAGGGCACACCAAGGGGACCAGTCAATTAAAAGTGTGCTGTTTTCTTCCCTTTTCTTGACTAAAGGAAATCCCTCTTATGAATGCCAAGCCACATTGTGACTGATAGACTGGTTTTAGCCCCTAAGCTTCTATTGCACAAAAAGTGGGCACTGTGAATGTGGTAGGCTACTTTAACTTGTTTTGTTTTTTAGTCGCTGATTAATTTTTAGTTGCTATTTCTAACTGAGAATAATGCTCAAATTAATTTCAGAAACAATAAACCTCTTCTGAAGTAAAAGAAAGAGAGAGGATGCACTTCAATTCAACTTACTCTTAAATGTTAAATGAACAGGTGGATTTGTAAACGGTTTAAAGTGAATGACCAGTCCGTGGATCCGAGGGGTCCAAGTTACCGATCTGTCAACAGAGTTAAACGGTTTAGATAAAAATTAATTAATTAAATTCATCATTCCATTTAATTCTCTTTTACAGTTTATTAACAATAAATGAACTAAGTTCATTGTAGGAAAAAAAAATCTACTATAGCAACGAGTGACGCGTAAAAATGAAACACAATGAGCAAAGCACTTTTGCACATAACTACCATGCTGTTTGAAAACGTACAACGGGCGTCTGAAACGAATTATGGAAATACAAGACCTACCGTGTCCCCTTGCAACGTTCTCACACGGTGCTGGAATTAATAGATGTTTGCCTCTTAAATGTAGAGTTCTCTCAAACTCCGCCTACATTAGAGGACAGCCTTTGGATAATATAACTGTCCGTTAATATGAGGCGTGTCATCCGTGCTGGATTCCTTGAAAATGCAAATAGCATCTTTTTCGTCAGAAAAAAATAATAAATAAATGAAACATTTAAAAATAAAAAGCTGGTGTTCTTACAGCACTAGATTGTGATTTGTAAGTCACTGAATAAAAACGTCTTCTGACCATTAGTAGGCTATATGAAAACTGTATGAGATATCAAAAAGCTTTTGATACATTTTTGAATATGAAAAAAAAGGAAACCTGGCACTACCTGAACATATTGCTGAAACAACATTTTGGATAGCCTACAGTCGGGTAGAAAACTCGAATATTCGTCTTTTGGCCGCCCATAGTAAAAACAAAAGACAAAAAAGAAACGTCCATTTTTCCAAGATATTGTATAGCCTATTAAAGAACAATCAAAATATAAGTACAAGTATTGCACATGCACCTGTTGAACAGTCCTAAGACACTAACGCTTTACAGGCGGCAGACAATTTAGGTCTCAGAGTTATAGGCATAACTCATATAGAAATAAAGAGACCTTTCTACTGACTCCGAAAAATACCAGAAGATGCCCAGAGTCCCTGATCACCTGCACGAACATGCCATAGCATGAGGAAGCATGAGGACTGCATGTGGCCAGAGAAATGGCAATGTCTGAAATGTAAATTACAGAATACAAATTGTGGGGGCATTTATTTATTTATTGGTCCCAATGAGGAAATAAGCTTACAAATCATACAGAATGATCTTTTTTGAAAATCTAAAATAGCAGAAAGTTTTGTGAGGAGTAGGTTTAGGGTATGCTTAGTGTAAGGGATAGAAAATCAAATTTGTACAGTATAAAAAACCATTACGTCTATGTAATGTCCCCATAAAACATGGAAACGTGTGTGTGTGTGTTAAAGAAACTTTAACGTTAAAGGGGTCATATGATGCGATTTAAATTTTTCCTTTCTCTTTGGAGTGTTACAAGCTCTTGGTGCATAAAGAAGATCTGTAAAGTTGCAAAGACTAAAGTCTCAAATCCAAAGAGATATTCTTTATAAAAGTTAAGAGTCAGCCTCACCTACCTAAAACGGCTCGTTCTAACACGCCCCCACATATCTACCTCACTATCTGGGAAGGTTTGCATAACGCCGCCCAAATGTTCACACAAAGAAAGAAGGCTTAACTTTTATTCTCACTGTAGTATTGTTGTTTCCGCCGCCATGTCATGAAGGCGCTGTGTGTTTCATTGTAAAAGCGAAACTACTTTGTTTGG